AGATTAATTTGTCAAGTTTTTTAATAACTCAGGTCAATTAAATATAATTTTTAAAATGATTTTAAAGTCATATCTAATTTAATTTTTACATATTAATTATTGATTTTCTTATTACTTTTATTAAAAAATTAAATTAAAAAGCAAAACTATATACATTTCATAAAAATTAAAAGGTGAAAACAATTTTTGTGAACTTAATTTTTTTTGTAATCTTTTTCAATGATAACGAATATTCTAATTCTTATATAATAACCCGTTGTATACATAATTACTCATAATAATCACATAATTCATAATTTTTTGTATAATATTTTAAATTGTTTTTACTATAATAAATGGCATTAAGTGAAAAGAAAATATATTCTTCTTTTATATATAAATATATATATATGCAACAGGGCAACGTAACCCTACCCTAACTTGGCTGTTCAATATTATAACCTGTCCAACCTACATCTATACTAGATTTATTTGACTCTTCAATATTTAATCTGTCCAACCTACATCTGTCCTACATTTATTTGACTTTTCAATATTATAACAGTCCAATCTATGTGCAAAGCTCTTCGAATGTTGGTGGCTTCTCGATGGGGTTCACCAAAACTTATCCTTGAAAGCGACTTTGGAAAGCTTGTAAAATGCGGTTTAAACACGTCCACATTATCCAGATTTTGCGTTTAAATCTATGATTAAATACTGTGACATTGTTAAAATTACCAAGTCAGCGAACGGGGTTGCAGATTCCGTTACTAAAACAGGGATGAACAGAGAAATTGACTTTATCTGGGGTGGCGCCTGAAGCTGATAATGACCATGTTCTATTTCTTTCCGCTTTCTTGTCTGCTTACTGATTGTGTTTGTGTTATGTTGGGCTGCTTTGTTGAGTTGGATTATTCGGATTGCTGCGCATCATCTATTGGTTGTTTTACTCTCTGTTCGGTTTGTCACTGGATTGTTTGTGCTTGTCGCTGATGGATTATCTTTCATTCGTGTTAGGTGTTGGTGCATTGAATATCCTTTTCTGATGAAGCAGGCTTTCATGTTATGACAATGGGGAATTGCTTGGTTGCATGGGACACAAGATTTTCATATACACAATGTACAGGGGTTCTGGGCTTTTTATTTTTGTGAGTGAATTGACTTGCTGTACAGGGGTGGTATTGTGCTTCCTTGTTCGGCTAGACCCTCTTCTGGTTTGTCTGAGGTTTATCAAACCTCTTGTGCTTGTAGGGTGGCTGTATATTTTGTTTTCTGGGGTTCACAGAGTGATCTAGCTGCTGCAGATTGTGTTTTTCGTATCTGCAGACTCTTCTTTTGGTGGTTGGAGGTTTATTGTCCTCCTCTTGGATGTACCATGTGCATAGCTAATGAAATGGTTCAACTCTGACTTTGGAAAAATATAAAATATTTATATATTAATATTTTAAAACATACTATAAATTAAAATTAAATAAAAATATATTATTTATTAATGTAATAATCTAATCAAATTAGGTTTCGTAAGCCTCAAGCCTACAATTTTATGCAAGTCTATCAATGTTTATTTCATTGAATTTAAAATGTACCCGTATTTTTATAAAAAGTCAATTGCATTTTATCCATTACATGTGAGCTCTTAAATGTTGAAATTTTACTTTATCAATATTTATGGTGATAAGTTCAAATTATACTGAGTATCCTTTCATGGTGGAGGCTTTGGGTGCCATGCATGAAAGCTTTGTAGAACGTGCTTAAGGACATGGAATTTACAAGAATGTAAAATCTAAGCTGCTAATAATATAAGAGAATTTCAAAATTTTAAAATTAAATTATTTGATTGGTAAAATAAAAATAAAAATTATTATTATAATTTTTGGAATTCGGACGAAGGATTTCATTGATTTAAATATTTCATTTCAAACTCTGACCTTCATGAAATTTTTCGATGACATTTATTATGGTCTCCTATTTGTATGCAATTTTTATTTTCTTTAACTCTTATTACAAATCTTATTTTTTATATATTTCTTGATATTTTCATATAAATAATAATATGTATTCATTTTTAAAAATCTAATGACACACCTACTGTATATCCTTTTCCATATATTTTTATTAACTCTAAGATCATTATTTTTCTTTTATAATTACATAATCAAATTTCAATACTCAAAATTTGAAGTTAAAACGCACACTTATCCCAACAATACAATTATAAATATTGTCATTTTAAGTTGACATGCATATTAAAAATAATTCCATTTCAAAATCTTTGAAATTTCAAGGTTCCTTGCCCAAATGCATAAACAATAATGAGCACAAATGAAATAGTTTGAAAATTTTACCATAAACAACAATGATCACAAATGTAATAGTTTGAAATAGTTTGCAAGATTTATCATTTTAAGGTCACAACAATTTTGACAAGATTAAAAATTCCACCAAAGTCAAAATATTCTCATCTTAAATGTGCCTAACAATTAACCCAATAAAGTTTTATATTTATTCTCAACTTGAATGTGCCTTTCTATTAACTCTATAGAGTTTTATATAACTATTAAAAGAGCCTTCTTAGTTTCTCATGTGAGATTATTACAATTCTTAAATAAACTAAAAATCTTATTCTATTTTCCTATATAAATTAAAATTCTTATTTTATCCAATAATTCTTATGTAAGACCTAGATAATAATAATATAATAATATACTCCTATATCACATCTTTTAATTTGTTTTCAACTATGGAAAAGCAAGAATCCATTAATATTGCACTGTCCTTGTATAATATTGCAGGTTGAACGTTATAGATTTAGTACTTGGTTGGTAGTTGCCTAAAGAACAAAATTTTAGTGGCTCTTGTTGACAATTCTAGTTTCTTGAAACTTCACCCTGATCCAAATTTTGATCTAAATACCTTATAATTGACGTCGAGGCGTTATGAAGACACCAATTGTGCCGAGGTTAGAAACTCTATTAAGGTGAACACCAATCTTGGCGAGGTTAGAAACCCTACAAAGATGAATAATGGCCAAAATCCCAATTAGGTTGGTCAAATCAAAGATACTAAAATCTCTTACTCTTTTGAATAGAACTTATAGAAAATAAGTACTCCTACTTACTAAAAAAAATTCTTTATTAATTCTCAACTTGAATGTGTTTAACAATTAAGTCAAAAAGGCTTTGTATAACTATTCCTAAAGAAGAAAGTCTTCTAACTTTTCCATGCGGGATTATTCTAGATTAGAGAAAAAAAATTGCTTGCATAAGTTCTCTTGTTTAGATCGAACCTCTTTCACATCTAACACTTTTTTAATAACTCCAACTTTAGCAATTGGAAGGTGTTGAACTTGAGCATCTATAGTAGATGCAGTCCCATCAAATCCATCAAATGAATACAAGTCTGAAACATTGAAAATAGGATTGATTTGTAACTCACATGACAACTCAATTAAGTAGGCATTTGAATTGATTTCTTTAGCACCTTATAAGGTCCAAACTTATAAACTTGAGCTTGTGATAAGCACTTTTAAAAAATCTTTCTTGCCTCAAGTATACAAGTACTTGATCACTTTCCCCAAATTCTTGTTTTACGACAATATTGATTGGAAGCAAAAGAGTATGTTACATTGTTAGCTTTTAAGGTAGCTTTTACATCTTGCAAGTTACTTTTGTAATTCTTGAACTTGACAACGTAATTCTTCTACCTCGATCTGGTGAATATCTCTTTGACGATTTTGATGTCTTGAATGCATTTTGTTGGTTCAAATAAGAGCAGCAATTACAACAATGGTAATATGGCGAGGACATGGTGATGTAAAAAAAAATAATGATAGAACAATAACAAACAAAATTACTTAAAAAGGAAAGTCAAAACCCGACAATGAACCCGAACAATGATTCTCTCACTTTGATACCAAACCAACGTTAGGGCATTGTGAATACACCAATTATGGCGATGTTAGAACCCTATTATGATGAACACCAAACTTGACGAGGTTAAAAACCCCACTAAGGTGAATAATGGCCAAAATCCTGCTTTGATTGGCCAAAGCATAAATAAATAAAATTTCTTACTCTTTTGAAAAAAATCTAAAGAAAATAAGCATGTCTGATTACTAATAAAAATATTCTTTATTAATTCTCAACTTGAATGTGTCTAACAATTAAGCTAAGACGACTTTATATAATTATTCCTAAAGAAGAGAGTCTTCTAACTTTCTCACGTGAGATTATTACAATTTCTAAATAAATAAATAAAAAAATAATCTAACCTAAACTTTCTTAAAACATAAGTAAGGTAAAAGATAATTATAAAAATAATCTTTCCTAACTTAATGTGCAAGTAACCTAATAATATACCTCTGTATCAATAACCATGCACTATTCATGTAATTTGGATGATGGAATGGAGAGCTATGAGCTAAGAAAGTAGGCTTCATGATCATTTGAAAATATGGAATGTTGAATTCTGAAGATGAGCCTTGTGTTTTGAAACAACGGTAATCTGCTCTTTGTCCTGCGCTGCTGTGTGTGGAATATGCACTTTGTCATCAGCCTCCCTTGGTAGTCTTTGTGTATTTTTGTATACGGCTTTTTGTACAGGTTTCAGGAATGTCTAATTTCCAGCAAATCTGTTAAAGGTTTTCGTGCTAACCTCCTGCTATGCTGTGGATTTTCTGGGTATTGACAGTTGCTTCACATGTACGTTCCTGCATACATGTTGCTTCACATGTATTTTCCAATTGTTCTGCTTTTGCTCTGGTATATCAATAATGCTAATCTGCCTTTCAAGAAACATGTTCTAAATTAGGATAAGGCACAAATTAATGCACATTTGACCTAGTACAAAAATTTACCAAATAATTTAACTAAATTAATTTCCTCTAGTGGCCTAATGAAAAGCATCTCAGGTGAATTGCACTCCCTCCTTTGCAAGGGGGTCTGCTGCTGCATTCTAATTTAGAACAATTTACTAGCCTCTTGTTGAAAAACTCTATGACTAATTAATTTTTGAATCTCGAGTAACAAATAACAAGATGCCACAATATTCACATAGTACAACTCAAGCCAACTATCATCACAAGATAGATATCATGTCACGAGGAAAGTGCCTCTATCCCATATCGGACAGAAATGGGAGATCCTGAGCTCTTTAAAAATGGATGTGCTACACATCCTCATAAGCGCATTTATGAGAGAGAGAGTAATGATTCCATGACAATCACCTACTGTAGCGATAGCACTTAAAGTTAAAATATAAATGCAAAACTCCATGTTCGAATGTGGCTTTAAATCCTTTCTTATCTTTGTCTACAATCCGGAAAGCAATGTCCTCGTAGGGTGGCCCAGAATGGAACCTTATGATGCATGTCTCAGAACTATTTCCATCCTTCTCAATAGCATATGCAGGAGCCTTTGTCTTGTCGACAAGGTCTGGGTAGAAGATATTAAACTTATTTCCTGAGCCTTTGTCTTGTCGACAAGGTCTGGGTAGAAGATATTAAACTTATTTCCTAGCACAATTTTGGGAGGTGGATTGTCGTGATCGTAATGGGTCTGGTTGTACTTGTTCCACTCATATCCAGTGTGAACATGGTTGAAATATTTTGGTTTTCTAGGTCGGTATTTGTCATGCCACCAATACACCTGTGAATCCAAGTTTACTTGGGCACCAGAGCCAAATACTGCATCTCCCTCCTCCATTGCTCCCATAGCTTTCATGGCTTTTAGCTTAGAGTGATCTTCTCGTATCCGTCTTTGCTGCTCCAGTATAGCCCTGTCCTCTTCAGGGTCAATAGCTTCTTCGTGGTTTTCATCACCATGCAACAGTTGGGGTGAAAATGATCCAGCCTCTTTTTCCACGGGTTGTGGAGAATATATTTCAGCATCTTTAACTTCATGATCACTATCCTCCTCTCCAGGTCCTAAACCATGATCAGATTCCAGTCCTGAAGGTTGCTCAAGGCCTTGTAACTGTGTCCTCAGCATTTGAGCATGTATTTCCTTTAAGCAGGTCTTTGCTTTCAATATATGAAGGCGTTTAAGAACAGCCTCCCAATACTCAACAACCTTTGCCATGCCAGTACGCATCTGTGACTCTATCTGGGATTGCAATGCCTCCAGTTCATGATGGGTCTTTCCTTCCAAGAGATTCTTGACATCTGCTTCAACACTAGAAGGCAGACTTCTTTGGAGAAGCAATAAAATTTATTTTTATTATATTTTTTCTAAATTATTATTAGTTTAAAAAGTTAAAATAAAAAATAATAAAACATATACAAAACTAAAAGGAGAAGCAATCTTTGTAAAATCTGCTTTTTTCTTATAATTTTTTAAATGATAATGAATATTTCTAATTCTTATATCTTAGTTTGTTGTTTATACATTTATTCAGAATATTTATACAATTTATAAAATTTGTTTATAAATATTTAAAACTATTTTTATTAACCTATCTTTAACCCAAAAACTTGACAGGCCGTTGGCTTAGGTTAGATTCGGCCCCAATTTACAGACCATGGGCTGGTGCTCCAAGGAGGAATCTGACCCTTAAAAGGTCCAACCTTCGATGATGGGCCCATGTTTCACTCCACTGACACTATGATAGTGATTAGTATTTTATAATGTAATATAATTATAAGTAATATGATTGTAGAGAAGATAATATTACAATGTTTAATATATAAGTAAAGTAATTATTAAAATACAGATAATATGATATTGTAGCGTTTAATTTACAAGTACTCTATTAGAAATGTAATATCAATTTTTAATATTATCCAAATTTATTAAAATATAAATTTAATCTATTTATACTTTTTATTATTAATTTTTATATAATATCATGTCTTAAATATATTTTTAATGTCATATATTTTATTTTATTTCTTATTATAATCTTATATATTTTATTTTTATTTTTTAATATAATTTCTTATATTATATATTCTAATTTAATTTCTTTTTCCTTTAAAAGACAATATAAATTTTATTGATGGTCACCATAGCTAGTGAGAGTAACAAAGAGACATTCTTTGAAATTTATATAAAAAAATAAATTATAATATTACAAAATATCTTTAATAAAATAATAAAGTTAAAGGGTATAAATATCATTAATAACATTGCAGAGTGTAATACAATCTGATTACTTTAGTTTTGAACTGTAATCATATTACATCTATGAACTGTAATGTGATTGTATTATAATATTATATTGTAGTGATTTGTTGTAAAATAAATACTATAATGTAGTTTAATAGGACACATTGTAAGAAATGTGCTCATACTTTCCTCATATCAAATATTTTCTATTATATGAACTTGTTTAAACCAGATGTTATATTACGTTGTGAATCACATGACACACGTGACCTTAACAATTATTGAGCTCATAATCAATTAATATCATTTGCAATAATGACAGATGAATCAATTTTTTAATGTGACAAAGTTAATTGATCGGAACAATTATGTCTTCTTAAAAAAAACAAATTTCACATTTAACCAATTTTGTAGCATAAGAAAAGCAGTGTCAATATTCAAGTCTATAGAAAATACTAATTGATCTGAGTATTCGGCTCATTAGTTAATGCATAATCCTTCTGTCGAAAGAGTAAATTCAAATTCTCTTTTCTTTAATTATAAAAAAAAAAAAGAAATACTAACTGATCATAGGCTTAATAACCATTAAGGTTATGTGATAAATGCAAAGAGTTTCGGGTACAAATGATAAGAAAAACTTATTTAGATAAAGTGAGGAAGTTTAAAGACTTATTTAATAAAGAATTTTCCATTTAACTAAAAGAAATTATAAATCCCATCACATTGCATGCGATTTCTTTAAATTTATCACTTTGGCAATAATCTCCACCTAGAAAAGTCTAGGAAGAAATTGGTGAGGATACTTGTATGAGGTTTTTCCTTTTGTTGACTGTTATGTCTTAAGTTTTATACTTAAATATTTAGTTTATTGGTTAATATATTATCTTCTGCCTAAATAGTAAGGTTCGAATCCTCACTTCAATTATATAAAAAAAAATCTCCACCCATTCCATTTGGTACGGACATGAAACTATTAAATAGAATGCCCTTTTCTCGGACAGAGATGCATGTCTCATGTGCAGGTAATGGTGGGGTTTTTTTATTGGATATGTGAAATAAAATTATGAAAAAAAGCAGATAGAATATTAAATAACAATAAAAGATTTTTTATTCTATATATTTATGCCTGTATAGGAGATGTAACTGTTAAAAATGTGTATGATTTAATTCATTTTCGGAGCAACACCAAGGATGGAGTTTGTAAAGTGAACGGGAATAAGACTTTTGTTTATCCAGAGTCACGGCAAGTGAAAAACTAATGGCTGCATGAACAATCACTTGATGCAACAAGTCAAGTGCCAAGCAACCCCCACATGGCAAGGAGCCCAAAGTCCAAAAGGTTACAAAGAAACAGTTAAGGCGAGGACAAATTTCTGTCTGGAAATGAGTGGTTCACATTCATTTCGTACTCAATGATTGGCTCATCCAAAATCACTTTAGAATGGTCATCTGACTTTTTGGGTATTCTAGATTGAAGCTTCTTTACAATTTCACCTGGGCCAGGCCGGCATTTAGGCCTTGGGTGGAGGGGATGACTGGAGACTAGTAATAGCTAATTAAGGTAGAGAATGGTGCAATGTCTTAGTTTTAACGGGTCTGATTTTCACCTTCAATGTCGATGGCAGATCACCGTCCATGAAGCAAGAAAGAAACGAACGAACAAACTGGAAATTAAAAGATAAGTATAACTAGAAAATAACCAATTATAACTTTGTCACAATTATAGCAAGAAATGATGAATTATGATCTATCGTCAACCCATCAGCTATATTCTCACTAAAAGCTATGGTGTAATAATTGACAATGTCATTTTTCTTCTATGTCTTACTTGTGCGAGGAGGGATGCTTTGTTCGTTCCTGAAGAAATTCTTGGGATCAACGGCAGTCTTCACATCGACCAGTCTCTCATAGTTGTCATTAAAATAACTCTCCCCATAAACTTTGCCCTCCTCGACGGTCCAATTCTCAGCGACACCAATGTCAATGTCCCTATAATTCAAATAAGCACTCCTTGGATTCTTGGACACGAACTGAGTCATGAAATCGTGAAGTATCTTTGATTGAGTTGTGTAGTTCTTATCTGCCTCGTTTCCAGGTTCGTCCCAGTTCACTGAATACTGGATCTTGTACAAATTCCCGGCACGGTGAGGGAATGGAGTCTCCTCAGCCTTGATTTCGTTCATTCTCCCTCCGTATGCATTGAAAACCAAGCCGACTTTTCCCAATTCAATCACCTTTTCCCACAGCGATTCCAACCCATCTCTAGGAATTGGAGTCTGCACGTAATCTGACTTCCTCTTCAGGAAATCAGCGTCGTTCAGGTTTCTGTCGAGTAAAGCAGTAGGTGATGTTCCGAAATCGAAATTAGCCCACCAAAGAACAGAGTCAATCCAAGTCGTCTCCGTACAGTTCTCTTTCTTCAGGCTCAGTTCAGGGAATTCCTTGCCCAACAAGGCCACTAGGCTATTAGCATCCCCCAAATACAATGCAATAACCGTTACTCGGAGCGTCTTTTGCTTGTTCCTCGTTACCGGTTGCAAAAGCATCCTCATGAAGAGATTATCATCTGTTGTTGGAGCAACAGATTGCCACTTCAAAGCAACATCAGTGGCATTGTCTGCCAATAATCTTTCAAGTCTGAAAACAGTAACCGTCTCAGGGACAGGAACAAGCTTAATCTTGTAGGCTAAAACCACACCAAAACTGGCCGCTCCCCCGCCTGTTATAGCCCAGAAAAGATCCTCTCCCATGCCTTTTCTGTCTAGAATTCTTCCATTAACATCAACTATTTTTGCATCCACAATATGGTCCACTGTCAGACCATATTTCCTTATCAAGGTACCGTAACCGGCACCGCTGAAGTGCCCACCAACGCCGACAGTGGGACAAACCCCACCAGGAAATCCATGGACCTTGCTCTTCTCCCAAATATTATAGTAAAGTTCACCAAGTGTTGAGCCGGTCCCAACCCAGGCCGATTCGTCTGCCATGTCAACAGATATCGAGCGCAGATTAAACATGTCAAGAACGAAAAACGGCTCATCGAAAATATAAGATAAGCCTTCGTAGTCGTGGCCACCGCTGCGGATTTTGAGTCGGAAACCAACCTTTTGGGAACAGATTACCGCTGCAGAGACATGGGATTCCTCCAAAGGAGTGATAATGATGACTGGTTTGGGCGTGGAAGAAGTATTGAAACGAGCGTTGCGGATATATGCTTGCAAGACTGATGCATAGGAAGGGTTGGAATTAGAGAAGAGTATGCTGGAAACATCATCGGATGGGATTGATTGGCTTAAGCATTGGAAAAGGGGTTGGTAGGCAGGATCTGATGCTGCCAATGACAAGGAAAAGTTGAAGGAAACAAGAAAAAGTAAAAGCGGAAGCAGCCTTGGGGCCATCCAAATTAGCATTATGCTTTTGGTTGTTCGATTTTGTGATCAAGGAATAAGGCTTTGGTCCATGATTTATAAGGTTCAAGGGCATGGAAAAATCTATGGTATTATTTAAAGCATGATTCCTATTTGTCTGAATTAGGCACAGGCCTTTTTTCCAAATAAAAAAATAGATTATGCCAAACCTATGACAGGACAGATCATTAAGGAAAAATATTCAGACAGGAAAGGAAACATAGTATTATTTTTTAATTCATGTTTGGCAAGTCAGCAGCACACAGCATTTTACTATGAACACAGATTAATTTACTTTTCTAATTTAGTGGGAGATATTATGGTGCGGTGATTCACACCCTATACTTTTCCATATGCATCATAATAATCTGGATTAGGAAAAATTAACTTTCGATTATTCAATTTTAAGGAAGAAATCCTGGCCTGCTAGGTATGGTGGTGTCCATACATTGCTTGGATTTTTATAGTAAGTTTTTATTTTTCCCCATTGATTAGATTTATTTCCTTTTTTTTTTTGGGAAATATTTTGTTACAAAATTACAATTTAAAATGAAAGTTTTAAGGATTTATATTTAATGTATTATCAATTTATAAATTCTATACATTATCAATAAATCAAATGTTGTCAAACCACATTATATAATTAAATGATGATATATAAATGCTTTTACACTTGTAATGAATCAAATATAAACTCGTATTTTCATTACAATAAAATGACTTTCACATATATCATATACTACATTTTTAAAAAATTAATAAATAAATCAACTTAAAATTAGATTAAACCCACATACCATGAAAGAGTGCAAGATTTATAGGATAAAGTAGAATTAATTACTTCCCCTTATAAAATTTAAACCTACTACGGTCTCTCATATGCAATACCCAAAAAAAAAAAGTCCAATATCATACAGATATTAGCATGATATGTTTGAATAATTAATTTGATTCTAACCATAATCACGGAATGGGTGATTTGTTGTTAATTGTGTAATTAAATGAATATGATTTGATCAGATTGTGAAAGGAAAATGGTGCCTACAAAAGGCCACATGGTCAAAAACATTGTGTGGTTACAAAGAAGACGTTGGGGCTATAGATATTTTGGCCCTGTGGTACGTGTTCCTGTGAAGCCTCCTGCAGTCAGCTTCTAGTGAGAATGACTTTTATTTAGACTTGTTCCTATTCCTCGACTCATTTTCAAACCTCAACTAAAAAAGAAAAATATAAAGGGAAAAGTTATGTGTAGAAAATAGAAAAGTAAGACAATAGCCGAGACTAATCCCACTTACACATCCAAAGTCAATGTCCATGGGCTTAAGAGATAATTATTATAACTTGACCACTTTTGAGTGAAATCAAATTATTTTAATTATATATTATGTTTTTGATTTGTAATATTAACGAGAATTCAAACCCACCACCAAAAATTACATATATTTACAATTGAGTGAAGTATGTATCATTTTTAATTATATATATAATATAATTTTTATATATTAATAATCGATAAATTAATAATTTTAATTAAATAATATTTTTCGTCTATTCCCATTTGAGATCAATATGACAAATTAATAATTCGTTAAATTTATCAAATAATATATTTAAAAAAACACACATAAGTCTCACTTGATATATAAATTAAAATTATATATACACATGATTCAATTAATAGATCTTTATACAAAATGACTCAAATATTACTTTTTTCCTTTTGAAATTGATATTTCTTTAGATATAATTTCTAACTTTTTCTAATGTATTAAGAAACTCTGTTGTAATGTTCTCATATTGTAAAAGAAAATTATACAATGTGAGTATTGCTTTGAGCGCATCTTTGAACAATACAAGCTCCAATAGCAAGGGTGATGCTAAACAACTAATTTATACGTCAATTGAGCATCAAAAATGCTTGATTGATGTATAAACTAATAAATTATTAATTTATAAATTAAATAATATATCAATTAATTAATAAATTTTTATGGTCTCACGAGTATTAATTTATAGAGGTTTAATTATATATGTCTATTTAATTTGTACTTAAAAATAAGATTAAGATTAAAAAATATGAATATCTTTTTTGATAAGCAGTTAATGTAATAAAAAGTTATCAAATTCAAATTTCGAGTCATTGTTCATGATTTTTATCATTTTCTCTTGTTTAGCATGATATCTTAAACATAAATACTTGTTAAAACTTCCAAATTAAGTGAGAAATTAGTGGAAGAAAATTAAACATGATAGGGGAAAAAAAGATATTTAAAAATAATTTGAACATAGGGAAAAAAAAGAAGAACTTGTCAGAAAAGAGAATGAAGAAATGAAAAGTCGACTGCTCCATTGAATCTTGAGACAGCATATGAAAAACATGCACGTCTCTTGATCCTTTTCCAGACAACAAAATGAAGACTCACCAAACTCAAAGGGTTGGATGGTACAGTTGACAACAATAGTTTTGGTTAGGTTTGAGTTCTACGAAAATAAGAAAACATTAAAGCGTTCAAATACACCAAATCAGAAGTAAAACTTTAAAGTTAACCAGCCAAGCTCTAGCTAAGTACTATCAACAAATCATGCGTTTAGATTTGTGTTCGATAAACATCAATTTTGACAAAATCATCTACCAAATCATTAACGGACAAATCTATTAATATTATGTTATTAAACTACTTGACATTACTCCATCTTTATTCATTTTCCAACGGATTTTTATTGCCGGAAACAATATACCAAATAATTTTTTTTCAGCCTCCACAGAGTTACGTAAGGAATTAAAACCGAATTGATGACATTAGAAAAATCATTTTCAATAATTGAAAAGTATGAATTTATCCATTTGAAAGCAGAATAACAACAAAAGTTTCTCTAATCATGAGGAATTCAGTCAAATTTAAATCTCCAATACAACATATTTGGAAAGCATAATGATCCTAACTCATCACGCAGCATCCACCAATTCTCAATACCTTGCCTACCTTGTTGTCTTCTTTTTTTTTTAAAAAAAAAGCAACTTAATAAAAGAGAAATAGATGCAATGTCTTCTGTTTTAAAGATATTGATAAAACCAAAACGATACAGAGAAGATTAACATGATCTTTGCACAAGGATGATGTGCACGAGTCGAGAAATAAGAATAAATCCGGGATCAAGTGGTCCTTTACCTAATACAGTTGGATGTCCTTTTCCCTAGTGTGCATGTTCACCTCACGAAACCTGTAAGAGTGGTCATCCATGCATGCGTGTGATATATGTAACGCGCTTTGACTCTGGTCATTGTTTGGATTTCAATAAATGGGTACGCTGCTCAATTTTAGAGATGTTTGCCAACAGGTATGATGATTTGGCTCAAAAGCTATTGGTACCTATCATCAAGATGGTGTGACCAATTATTTGGTGCCACCCGTCCAGTGTCGTGGCACTATTGGTAACCAAATCTGGGCTGCATAAAACCTAATTTTGGTGGATTTGTTGAGCATTGATGTGTAATTAATTTCTTAACTATGATGCAGGCACCTTACAACCATACTCTATGTATACTCTACTAATGCATTAGGATCATTAAACTGAATGCCAACAGGCTGATCAAGTAGCCGACAATGGCAGATCTCCGTCCGTCTAGCAAGAAAGAAAAGCTGGAACAAAGTGGAAATTAAAAGAAAGTATAACTTAGATAATAATCAATTATAACTTTGTCATAATCATATCAAGAAGTGACGAATTACGATTTATCACCGACCCATCGGTTATATTTGTACATATAAATTTCTTGTCAAAAATTTTTAATTTAAAAATTATGAAACAAATATAAATATTTGATACTAGCTACAATCTTTGACATTTTTTTTATTAATTTTTTCACTTCGTTTTCAAAAATCATGAACTAAACTTGATATCTTCACGTTAAAGGGCTTGACGGCTTAATCTTAATTATGAAGTAAGCCTAATATCTTCACTTCAAATGTCTTGACGACTTAATCTCAACCTCTTGAAGTGGTATCAATATTAAACTTTAGGACCTCAAGATGAGGCCTAGTCCATGTAATAGAACTATTGGCATGTCTGGTTCTACGAGGGGCATGGCCTATGGTAGGAAATCTTGCTAGATCACCTATAGAGGGGTTAAGGTAAGGTCATTTAGCATTGGACCACCAAGCAACTCTCACTTTGATCAGCTAAAAAATAAGGCTACTATCCCATTCTTTCCCCTTAAAAAACACATCATTCTTAAACGATCCAGATAACCTAAGTGATAGCATACCAACCCACTTTCCAAATAGCACTATTTTAAATATTACAAGAGAACTTGAACTAAGAAAACAGTCGAGGGGATTAAAGGGTGAAACCCAATCAACACCCCACAATAAACACCATAATTACCAGATTAACCAAGTTTTATCACGAGTGAAGAAAAGGTGTTGTACCGTTTCAAGCTTTTGTAGGCACAACAGACATGTGGTAGCATTGGAACTGATGATGCCTCTCTTTGCAAGAGTATCTCGCACAACCAAGCGTCCTCTCATAAGCTACCAGCATCAGATCTCAATTTTATAAGGCGTCAGACCATACCATGTCATCTTCCAATGATCAGCGTAAGGGTGTTAGTAAGCAGCACTTGGTGACAAAAAGAGTTTGAGAAGTAGTCGCTGTGAGAGGACCATTTCTAAATGAGTTTATCTGGGAAATCCTTATCAATGACCTGCTCAGCAAGAAGAGAATTAAAGCCATCCCACTGCTCCCACCTAAACACATTTCATTCTTTGTATTTCACTACTTAAACACACTTCATTCTTTAAGAGGGATTTATTTGGACAAGAACAAAGATTACTCACCATCATTGTGTGAAATTAAGATAAGGTAAAATATTTTTTTAATCTCTTTCTTTCAATTTATATTTATATTTATATTTTTTTTCATTTTTATTCTATTTGCTCATACGTTTTAAGTTTCTATATATTTTCTTCTCTAAATTTTTATAAACTATCAACCATGTTCTTTTTCTTTCTTTTTTGTTATATCATATGTGGGTTCTATCTTTTATTTGCCACGTTTGTTTTTTCCATTATGTAGATTTTATTTTCTATAATTTTAATTTTTAAAATTTAATAAATTATCATATAATTTTCAAATATAAGTTTTAGTGTTGCATTGTTACTGAAAATTTCATCAATATATTATTTTTTATTAATCCTGATTATATAAAAGAAAACTATCTTGAGTATACAATTTTTTATGTGCTTTACATTCCATATTTAGTTGAAAAAAAATTATCTTGAATATATAATTTTTAAAAATTATATAAGAAAAAAATTATTAATCTTGAATATCACATTTAACTATTAATATTTTATACATTATAGTTTTATAGTTAACATTATAAGTTTAAATAGAAATAAAATAAAAATATTAGATGTCGATTGCATTAATTTGTTTTTAGGTTTGATTAAAGTATGAGTAAGTTGAAAATAGTTGACAAGTTTTGTAAAAGGAAAAACACAAATCATCCAAATGTTAATTCTTCATTTGAGCCATTAAGCCTTCATGTTTCAATTAATAAACAAGAGTAATGTAAATCAAAATGCCAAAAACTCAATTATGAAGAAATGGATGCTTTTCAATATTAGAGTCAATAATTGATTATTTTAAATCTAAGAAACATGATTGAGCATAATTTTCTTAAAAGACTATTGTAAGTCTTTTTCTTTTTGATTTAAATGTTATATAAACTTATTTTTTATTTTAAATCTTTTAATTGTTAATTAAGTTCAACATAGTTTCCACGGTCTCCCCTTTCTTTCTCTTACCCAAGATATATTTTTCCAATTAGTTTTTTGAGTTTTTTTTTTATCTCTAAATTTTACTCAAACATCTTATAAGTTTTTTCATGATACCTTTAATTAACTTTAATTAACCTTTAAGTTTTTATTAATCTGATGTTCAAGTTTCATTAGTTACCTTTGGATTTTTTAGCATAACCATTTGTTCAAAAAAAAAAAAAGTTCATCATGTTTTGTGATCCCTACATATTGTCGTTTATTAACTCTTTTTATTTACTTTTCATATGCATATATAATAGTAAAAAATATGTTAGGTTTTGTTTATATATGTGTGTTTGTGTGTTTATAGATCAAGTCATCCTTTTTTTATATATTATTTCATACTTACAGAAGGAACATTAATGACTTGGCGTATTATATTTTTAGTTAAAGACGTCATGCTAAAATATATAAATAATTTCTTTTGTATCCTTGTGTTTGGTTGATTATATACCAAATTATTAGAAAAATAATATTATAGTGTGTGATAGAAATGAGAAACCGTTAACTAAAATATTAGAAAGTTATTATTTCAGTGTTTGATTTATAAATATTTTATTGAAATTATAATGTTAATTTTTAAAATTATTTTTATGTATTAAAATGTAGGTTTAAATCACTTTTGTGGATCGGATTCGAGCCATTGGGCCTTCCTTTTCAAGCCATTTGGCATGAGTTCGACCTGGCTCGTTTATTTAAATATTATTTATTAAAATAATAAAATATTATTTTTTATTAATATTTTAGTATTTTAAAAAATATTGCACAATTAAAATAAATAAAAATAATCTTAATAATTTTATGTACCAAAAGGTGAATTTAACACACTTGCATGTCCGGACGTGTCCGTTGGATCAAGCCGGCTCTATCAAGTCTTTCTTTTCACACTATTGACTCCTTGAGCTTGGCTTGATTCGCTTGTTTTAATTATTATTTTATTAATAAAAAGTAAAATATTATTTAATATTAATACTTAAAAATGTTAAAATATATTAAACTACTAAAATATATAAAAATATATTATTCATTAATAAAATAATTTACTCAGAGCAAACTTGGACTCAAAGCCTACACTCAAGGCAGGCTGGACTCAAGGTTTGAGAAGTGAAAGGAGTCCGAAATGCTATGGGTCTGGTTGATAGGTAGCCAACTTTGGGCTGCCTTAAACTAAATTTTTGGTTGCCTTGTTAAGCATTGATGTATATTAATTTCTTAACCATGACGGGCAAGTTCTTTACAACCATACTCTATACTCTACCAATGCATTTGGATCATTAAATTGAATGCCAGGAGGCTAATAGCGTAGCCTACCGAAGCCCACCAGAACTCATCATAAGCCATATCTTCAGCTTTCGTTATCCTCCAGCGCCTGCTGGCTGCAAACCAGGAGAGTCGCCATTTATGGGCAGAGAATATTGACAAGGCTCATCCCAAGTTAAAAAACCATGGCATCTACTGGTAAACTTGACCCTGAAACCACCAAACCTGCCTCACCACCAAAGCCTGAAGCTCCACCAGCTGCTGCTAAGTGCCCTTTCAACTATTCTGTTGATGATGTTGCTCTTAGAGTTTTACTGTGTTTGCAGCCAGGCTGACTTCTGTGGTGGTCATGGTTACTGGCAAGTGGCAAGCAAACCTCATCCACCAAGCCACATCACCTTTTGATCAATTTCTGCCAACTAGGTCGATTTCTTTTAGTATAGTAGATTTTTGTCAATTCATTTTATCTTCCTATGGGGCCGTATCTGTGGGTTCATTTGTGCAGCTGTGTGTGAATGAAGATTTAGAACTTTTAATATTGGCCTTCTATATATTGCAGTCCTGAAAAACAAAACTATTATGTTCTTTGCTAATTATTTGAAAAGTAAAAAATACAAAAAAAAGAAAACTTCTTAAAATAGATAAACATTTTAAATTTTACTTCATCCGACTGCTAATGCACTAGGTTGATTAGACATCTAGTTAAAATCATATATGTGTTTATGTATAGTTGTGTGTATTCATTTATAAATATAGAACTATGAAGATCCTGAAACCACATGATGAATGTAAATGATTACCATTTATCAACTTTGCATGTAAATGAGTTGCTTCATTTTCATGTCAACAGCCAAAAGGAACAAATGGAAAATATATTTCGAATCCTATAACTACTTCCCCTGATTCCTAAAGAACCAGCAAGCAGAAAAGCAGTCCTATCCGTGTGCTGATAGCTTGCGTGGACGTCAGAAATCTTCTCTCACCCTCACCTGATTCGGACCCTGTAGCCACGAACCCCGTGTGAGTGACCATTTGGTGCAGTACTACAAGGCAAAGTAAAGACAGCAAAAAGAGCAAGGACCACTTTTGCAAAAGCAAAGTTCAAGCGTGTGAGCTTGATTGATTGTTGGCAATTGGATCTGAAGGAACTTATGCATTGGAAATATCTTCCAATTGCGAAACTAAAGAAGAGCACTATGCCTTACTTGTACGAGGGGGGATGCTCTGTTCGTTCCTGAAGAAATTCCCTGGATCAACTGCAGTTTTTACATCTACCAATCTCTCAAAATTACCATTAAAATAACTCTGTCCATAAACTTTACCTTCTTGGTATGTCCAAGTTTCGCTGATGCCAATGTCAAGGTCCCTATAGTTCAAATAAGCACTTCTTGGGTTCTTGGACACAAAGCCAGTCATGTAACTGTGAAGCCTCTTAACCAGAGTTCTGTACTTTCTGTCTGCATCCATTCCTGTCTCCTTCCAGCTTATTGAATACTGGATCTTAAACAAATTTCCGGCTCGATGAGGAAATGGGGTGTCTGTAGACTTGATTTCATTCATTATCCCTCCATATGGATTGAAAACCAACCCGGGTTCTGCCAATTCAATCATCCTTTTCCAAAGCCATTCCAACCCATCTTTAGGAATTGGAGTCTGCACATAATCTGACTTCCTCTTCATGAATTTAACATGGTAGTTTCTACTAAGCAGCACATTCGGTGAAGTTCCGTAGTTGAAACTCGCCCACCAAAGAGCAGAGTCAATCCAACTCATCTCCAAACAGTTCTCTTTTTTAAGACCCAATTCAGGGAGATCCTTAGCCAGTAAAGAGACAAGATCATCGGCACCCCCCAAATATAGTGCATAAATCGAAATTCTGATTGTCTTTTGCTTGTTTAAAGTAACTGGCTGCACAAGCATCCTCATGAACAAATTGTTATCTGTTGTTGCAGCAACAGATTGCCACTTGTAAACAACATCAGTAGCGTTCTGTTCCAAAGTTCTTTCAACTTTAAAAACCGTAACAGTTTCAGGAACGGGAACAAGCTTGATCTTGTAAGATAAAATAACACCAAAACTGGCTCCTCCACCGCCTCTGATAGCCCAGAAAAGATCCTCTCCCATGCCTTTTCTGTCAAGAATCTTACCGTTAACATCAACTATCTTAGCATCCACCACATGATCCACAGAGAGACCATACTTTCTCACCATGTTACCATAACCAGCACCGCTTATGTGACCGCCAACGCCGACAGTGGGACAAACCCCTGCAGGAAATCCGTGGACTTTGCTCTTTTCCCAAATCCTATAGTAAAGTTCTCCAAGCGTGGCGCCGGCTTCAACCCAAGCGGATTCATCTCCCATATTAACAGATATTGAACGTAGATTGAACATGTCAAGAATGAAAAAAGGTTTGTCAGATACATAAGATATGCCCTCAAAATCATGGCCGCCGCTTCGAATTTTGAGTTGAAAACCGATCTTCTTGGAACAGATAACGGCTGCTGAGACATGTGATTCTTGCAAAGGGGTGATTATAATCACCGGTTTCGGTGTGGCAGAAGTATTGAAACGAGCATTACGGATGTATGCTTGCAAAACAGAGTTGTAGGAAGAACTGGACTGAGAGTAGACTATGTTGGAGACATGATCTGATGGGTTGGAATGGCTTGTTAGGCACTGAATAAAGGATTCATAGACGGAATCGGAGGCTGCCACGGAGGAGCATATGGTGATGGAGACGACAACTAAAAGAAGAAGAGGCAAAGACATCGTCATTGCTTTCTTGTCGGCGGGGGTGAAGTTGCTTAATTTTCTACTCTTATACAATAATTTATTCATAACTAGGATCAAGTGTTTCATTAAGATATCCGCTTCCGGATTAGCAATCAAACAACAAGGAATCTAGTTAATCCGGCAAAGGCATTGTTTCATAGGGCCTATAATGTGGGGGCCAATGCATGGGGCAGGTGTCAACGGAGTCATTATATATTGTTATATTTCGACCCACCCGAGAAAAGGAGCAGTAATCAATCAAATTGCCAGCAGAGTTAATATCTCTTGCTGTCTGCTTTGTGTCCCAACCACCCGCGAAAAGGAGCAGTAAACAGTTTTTAAAAAAGGGAAAGCCCGTGATATTACACAAAAAGGGCAAGCCCGTGATATTACACGTGTAACAAAAGCGAAATGTTTTCTACGGAAGTGTAGCAAGACAACGAAATGATTCTGGTTCATAGCCATTCTAAGAATCACCTTGCTGACGTTCTTACAGAGCCTCGGCCAAGTATCAGGTTCGAGGCTTCGAGCAAATGGAGGAATGAAATTGGAGTTTGTTGCGAAGCAGCCAATTGGAGGATTCTTGGAGTCAATGGTGGACTTTGCTGCTGTGCTAGTTTTTCAGTCTAAGTCTCATTCTTGTTGCAATGACCTATTGTAGCCTTTTCTGGTACGTTTTGGTTGAGATTTTTATGTTTGTCATTATCCCAAGAGACAATTTAAATTTCCTTTTGAAAGTGGTGGGTATTATTAATCCATCAGCTAGTATGCCATTACAACTCTTGAACCTTGGTGGTGGAAGACTCATATTGGCATAAAAAATCTAGCTTTGAAGGAAACAGTCCATACGTTTACAAGGCATGCGGCTGCTCAAAAGACAATTGGCAACAACTATCAAAAGAGACCATTTTACTTAGAAGCAGTTGGAGTGTTGATGTTGAAGAATTCAATATGCAGAGCTCATGCAGAGGAGCAGAACCTGTTAAAGTATGATTGAGGCAGTTGAAGAAGTTATTTATCAGTGTTGATGACCAAAGATAACTCTGTGACTTTAAAGCAAAACTATTCTTCATTCTGCAGAAAACTTTCTCCCTTTCATCACATTTTCTCTGCATTTTTAAGTGCAGTGTGTGTGCTCTTTAGATTGCAGAAACTCTCCCTTTCTTCATTATATTCTCTCTGGAATCTAATTCTGTAACAGGGATGAACATTATACAATATTGCTCAACTTTTAGTTCGCAACAAATAGTTTCTAAGTTAATTCTATAACAAATAAAATGGTAAACAAATAAACAAGTACTTGGTTTTCTTTTCAACAGGGATGAGCATTAGGTGTAAATATTCTGATTTATGAGTGAAGATTTGTTGTCATTGTCTGTATGTTCAGGGAACTAGCATAGCCTCAAGGAAATACACAAGGTACATGAACTAACTTCTATTCTGCCATTGTACTCTTCCAGAATGTAAGAGATGGAATGCTTTGTTCATATCTGAAAAAGTTGCCTGGATCTACCATACTTTTTACTTGTACCAATCTGTCAAAATTTCCCTTGAAATACTTACTTGCCCATACCTTAGCCTCTGAGTAGCTTGCATTGCCAATTTCATTGATCCCTATGTCCACATCTCTGTAGTTGAGATATGAACTTCTAGGAGATTTTGATACATAAGGTGTCATATAATCATAAATCCTTGCAATCTGATCCAAACTGCGATCTGCAGCCTCAGGGCCATCCTCTTTCCAAGTCACTGAGTATTGGATTTTGTATATGTTCCCTACTCTGTGAGGAAATGGAGTTTCAGACTCTGAAATCTCACTCATTTTCCCACCATAAGGATTTAATGTTAATGCTGGTCTTCGCAGTTCAATCATTTTCTTCCAAATCCCTTCAAGATCCTTCTTGGAAATCGGTTCCTGCACATAGTCTGATTTCTTTTTCAAGTACTTCTCTGGTTGAGGTTGCCGATTAAGCAAAACCTCCAAGGATGTTCCTTTTGGATAATTAGACCAAAACAGGACAGACTCAATCCAGCTCATTTCACTACAATTCATAGGCGATAAACCCAGTTCAGGAAATGTTCCATTCATTAGGGAAATAAGTTTTTCCGCATTTCCAAGAAACAATGCGATGAATTTAGCTTTGATGGACGGTAAATGCGTTTTAGTCACTGGTAGCAGAACCACTCTAATGAACAGATTTTCATCTATTTTATCAGCAATATATTGCCATTTATGAACAATATCTGTTGCACCTTGTTCTAATGTCTTTTCTATTCTAAAAACAGTAACAATTTCTGGGACAGAAACTAACTTGATTTTCCATGAAAGAATGACTCCAAAGCTAGCTCCACCACCTCCTCTGATGGCCCAAAATAGATCCTCTCCCATTGATTCTCTATCCAAAATTCTGCCATTAGCATCCACTAGCTGTGCATCGACAATATTATCAGTAGACAATCCATGTTTTCTCATCATGTTACCATACCCACCTCCACTGAAATGGCCACCGACACCTACTGTGGGACAAACTCCAGCTGGGAAGCCATGGGTCTTACTCTTTTCTGCAATTCGATAGAAAAGTTCACCCAGTGTGGCACCCGACTGAACCCAAGCACTTTCATCCTCCATGTCGACGCTTATAAATCGAAGATTGAAGGTGTCAAGGATCATAAATGGAGCTGCCGACACATAAGAAAGGCCATCATAATCATGACCCCCGCTACGGATTCTCATTTCCCAGCCATGGATTTTGCAGCAAATGATTGACGCTTGGATGTGAGAGACATGGGACGGAACCACAATGAATAGAGGCTTTGGGGTTGTGTCAGATGTGAATCTAAGATTTCTGATGTATGATTGTAGAATGGAGGTGTAGGAAGGATTGGTGGGGAAGTAGGTGACTGAAGAGATTGGTGGGGAGGTGACAGAATGATTGGAAAGGCACTGAAGAATGCTGCTTTCTTCGAGTACATCTGAATTTGCCATTGAATTGCAGAGCAGAAAGACGACAACTGATAGAATTGAGACAGGATTCCTCATTATAGTACATGCGAGATGTGGCTGGCTCTTCCCCAAATTAAGAATTACAAGTTTAGTTACAGATTCTTCTTGTCTAATCTAAGGATTAGAAGCAAGGGCACGCAATAACCTGAAACTTAATTCTTGTACTTGATGCAACGCATCCAGCTAAGATTATCTAAAAGAGAAGCTTCTGCAAAAGTCAAATCCAGTGGGGAACAACAATTAGTGTCGGTTTAAAATATCTGTCTCCAGCATATTCTCGGGACTGAAAGTTACTACTAATAACAAAAGTAAAACTGTCCCATGAGCTTAGCTCAACTGGACTTCGCTGTACCAATTAGACCACCAAAGACCCAAAAAAACTACTTCAAATTGGGCAAATGGTAACAGGCAGAATTGACCTCCCAAAAAAGAGCTCAACCATCCATCTGTTGCTGTTGACTTTTAGAAAATGATTGAGATTGAAGTTGTAACAATGGTGGAAAATATTCAGAGCAGAAATGAAAGAGATAAAATAGCTGAGGAAGAAGATAATTTTTATAGCAGCAATAAGGCCTTTTATATGATATAAAGGCTTCAAACCCAACAAACAAGGTGTCTATTAGGCACATTACCTTTTACAATGCAGACTAACAAGCAGAATAAAATAAAATAAATGCAAAAAGCAACTAATATTGAAATACCAGACATGTGAGAATCACCGCCTGGTGACTACAAGAGTGACACATTACCAGCTCGTGTCCTTGTCTTCACCAAAATTAAAATGAAACCTTTAGCGCCAAATCCTACAAAACTGGTCTTCGTTCCAACACACCACTTGGAGATTAGGTTTGCAGATTCTCATCTCACTCCTCAGAGTCTAAAATTTATCCTTGCTAAGCACTTTTGTGAAGATATCTGCTAACTGATTAACAGTACTGCAATAGTTGATGGAGATTTCTTCATTTCTAGCAGCTTCTCTACATTGCATGAAATTTAACTCTTACATGCTTTGTTCTTCCATGACTTGCTAGATTTGAAGCAATTGCAATAGCTGATATGTTGTCCACCCAAAGAACAGCAGGTGCTTCCTAAGTAATCTTCAAATTCACAAAAATTTTTCTTAGTCATGGTGCTTGATTCATAGTAGCTGCAGTAGCCATATAGTTTGCTTCCGCAAAGGATTGTATAACAATTTCCTGCTTGTTTGAGTTCCAGGCAAACACAGCACTCCCAAAGGAGGAGCAGTAACCACTGATGCTTTTAGAATCATCCACATTCCCAACCCAGTCACTGTTTGAATAACCCTAAAGTTCTTGTTTCACATTTCTGCTAAATTTGAAACCAAAGCTCAAAGTTCCTTTAACATATCTAAGGATTCTTTTAGCTGCAGTCATGCATAAATTTAGATAAAAGACTAGTAGCATACATGATGTGTAGATGCTGCAGATGAGTTTTTTGTTCCTCTGCAGCTTTTCCTGTTGGATTGGAGGCTGGGTTTCCTTCTTGATGGCTGTAGCTACGTTCTTTATGTTGAATGAATTATCAGTTTTACTTTTCAAAAAAAGTAGCATACATGATATCTGGCTTGGATGCAGACAGATAGAGCAAGTTACCAACAAGTTTTCTGTAGAGAGTTTCATCAACTTTAGCACCACCATCATCCTTGCTGAACTTACGACTAAAAGCTACTGGTGTTGCCAGTGCTTTACAGTTTTTCATTCTGAATTTTTTATGCAATTCAGAAGCATACTTTTTCTAATGCAACATTATGCAGTCACCCTCTTGTTCAATCTGCAAACCAAGGAAGTAAGACATGATGCCAAGGTCACTCATGTTGAATTCATTCTGCATTCTCAGCTTAAAATTGTCAACAACACTGTCATCTGGTCCACTGTTAAGCAGATCATTCACATAAAGTGACAATATTAAGTGAACTTGTTTACCTGAGCTCTTATATAATATACAAAGTATGTTCACTATTGCTCTTGAGAAACCCTTGACTCTGCAAATAATTGTCCATCCTCTCATACCAAGCTTTTGGGGCTTGTTTAAGTCCATAGAGAGCCTTTACTAGCTTGCGTACCTTATCCTCACTACCAGGTTCAATAAAGCCCTCAGGCTGCTCTGCATAAATATCTTCCTTGATAGTTCCATCCAAAAAAGCAGATTTAATGTCCAGGTGCCAAATATGCCAATTTTCTCTAGTTGCTACTGCCACCAGTAGCTTGATTGTAGCATGTCTAGCTAGTGGTGCAAATGTTTCAAAGAAATCCTTACCATATGTTGGAGAGAAACCCTTCACCACCAGTCTTACTTTGTGTTTGTTGATCGACGCATCTGAGTTGAGCTTTGTTCTACACACCCACTTAACTCCTATGGCCTTCTGCTTGTCCGGTTTATCAACAAGAATCCAAGTTTGATTCTTCTTTATCATTGACATCTCAACTTTCCACCATTGTTATAACTTCAATCTCAAATCATTTTCTAAACGTCAACATGGTATGAGAGCCCTAATGGACCTTAAGGGATTGTAGGGAAGGTTTTCTTAACTATTGTTTCACTGTTTTCTTTTGGTTTGACACTCTTTGTTTTTGTGGCTGATTGAGTGATGGCTTCTTTGAATATGAGTGTTACTACTCCTCCTGTCTTCTCGAGGCAGAACTATCTTATTTGGGCAATCAAAATGGAGGCGTACCTGAGAGCGTATGATTTGTGGGAGATCGTAGAAGCTGGTGGTGATCCACTTGTTTTGAGAGTTGCAAACCCGGCGATTGCTCAGTTGACATAGCACAAAAAAGAAGTTGCCAAAAGGTACAAAGCCCTTTCAGTTCTTCACTCTACAATTTCATATTCTATTTTTACTAGAATTATGAATTGTAAAGCTCCCAAGGAAGCCTGGGAAAAGCTGAAGGAGGAATTCATGGTAGTGATGGGACTAGACAGATTCAAGCTCTCAACCTTCGGAGAGAGTTTGAAATGCCAAGAATGGGAAATATGAGTCTATAAAAGGGTATGCTGACAAAGTTCTGAATAATGTGAATAGGTTGAGGTTGTTAGGTGAAAATGTCTTTAAGAAACGAACTGTGAACAAACTACTGGTTAGTTTACCAGAAAAGTTTGAAGGGAAGATTTCTTCACTTGAGGATTCAAAGGACCTTGTGTCAATATATGTTAATAAATTGCTTAATGTTCTTTAAGCTCAAAAGCAGAGAAGAGCTTTGAGGTAGGATGTATGTGTTGAGGGAGTTTTATTGGCTAGAAACACAGAAAAATGATCTGGTGGAGAATATCAAAAGAAATCAAGAACTGATAACAAGGATAAAGGAAAGAAAGGTGGTGATAAGAAACAAGGAGGTTAGAAGAAGAATTTTCCACCCTGCTCTTATTGCAAGAAGACTAATCACACTGAGAGGTACTGTTGGTACAGACCTACTATCAAGTGCAACGTTTGTCATCAACAGGGTCATGTAGAGAAAGCATGTAAGAATCGAGGTGTGAAGATAGAGGAGAAGGCTGCTGTTGTTGAGTAGAAAGACCAAGTTGAAGATGAGGTCCTGTTTATGGCAAGAACAGCAGACAATGATGAGAAAAGGGACACTTGGCTACTGGACAGTGGGTGTTCCAATCATTTGACTAGCTACAAAGACCTTTTAATAACACTTAACGAGAGTTTTAGTACCAAAACGGAAATTGACAATGGTCCTATTAATTCTTGGGACTGGTACAATTGGAGTTCAAACTCCAAATGGAATCAAGTCAATATCAGGTGTTTTTTATGCACCAGAAGTTAGCCAGAACTTATTGAGTGTTGGTCAACTGGTTGATGACAATTTTGAGTTGGTGTTTAAGGACACGTCATGTATTGTTATTGATCCTATTAGTAAGAAACTTTTCACAGTAGGAACGAGAAACCAGTGTTTCCCTTTGAATTGGATGAAGGTAATACATTTTGCTTATAAATGCTCTCAGTCTGATGAAGAATTTTGGCACAGAAGGTTTGGTCATGTGAACTATTGTTCACTTAAGTAGATGGTTTCTGAGAATTTAATTGATGGCTTGCCTATGTGAATATTGAAAAATATGCAGGATATGTCAGCTTGGGAAATGAAAGCGTGTGCCATTTCCTAAGAACAGCAACTGGAGTACCACTCAGAAGTTACAACTACTTACATACAGATCTTGGTGGCCCAAAGAAGACTCCTTCATTAAATGGGAGTAAATATTACTTACTTCTTATTGATGACTATACAAGGTTCAATGGGGTATTCTTTCTTAAGCTGAAGTCTGATGCTTTGAGTTCTTTCCCTGTTTCCATTTTTAATCAGCAACTGCCTCAGTAAAGGAACCAGGTTCTGTAACAGCAACACAACATCTGGAATAAATGTCTTGTAAAGACTTTATTCCTCTCACAGGTACCTCATCAATATTCCCATATAAATCTCCATTAGCTTCTGACTCAGTAAAGTAATCTGCAACAATTTCTTGACCCTGTGCATTCTCAACAGAATTTGTGTCCCAATTCCATCTCATATTCTCATCAAAGACTACATCTCTGCTGACAAAGAACTTCATTGTCTTTATATCTAGCAGCTTATATCCTTTAGAAACCTCACTATATTCAAGATGTATAGCAACAAAAGACTTTTCATCAAGCTTTGTTCTTCTTGCATTAGGTATTTTAACATAACCTATACAACCATAGACTTTTAAATGTGTAACAGAAGTTTTAGAGTTATACGAGGCTCCATAAGGAGTTTTGTTCACCAAGGCTTTGGTTTTGGCTGTATTGAGCAGATAGTTTGCTGTGTTAACAGTTTTTGTCCAAAAGAACTTTGGTAAGCTCTTCTCAAACAACAGACATCTTGTCATCTCCATTAATGTTTTGTTCTTCCTTTTTTAGATTTCATTCTGCTGTGGACTATAGGCAATTGTCAACTGATGCACTATAACATACCTGCTTAAATATTTTTCAAACTCCTTGGAAGTGTACTCAGTCCCATTATCAGTTCTTAATTTTTTGATTGTTGACTCTGTCTGGTTCTCAACTGAAGAAATGAAAGAGATAAAATAGCCGAGGAAGAAGATCATTTTTATAACGGTAACAACGCTTTTTATATGAAGCCTTGATAACAGAGAGAGCAAAACAATAACGTTTTACAGAGTACCTACAGGGAATAAACACGTGACGCACACAGTTGGAGAGTCGTTGTACAATCTTTTATACCCAACAAGCAAGTTGTCTATCAGACACATGACCCTTTACAATGCCAATGTAGACTAATAAATAGAATAAAATAAAATAAATGAAAAAAGCAATAAATATTGAAATAGTAGACATGTGAGAATCACTACCTAGTGACTACAAGAGTGACACACTACCAGCACGTGTCCTTGTCTTCACCAAAATTAAAATGAAACCCTAAACCCCAAATCTTGAAAAACTGATCTTCATTCTAATAGTTTCTTTGAAGAAATGGAATTTTTTCCCCAATAAATAAAAGGATGAAAGCTTTCATTAACATCATGAAAAGTCAGCAGCAATATTAGCCTATTTTGAAGCAAAAATATAAAGTATAAAAACATATGACTTGACATGTTACGAGATTTCATATTAGATAAGTAATGAAAAGATTATTTCATTAAGTTAACTTTTTGAGATGAGTGTGTTTTTCTTTGGGATTTCAAACAAAATATTAATGTCTAATACGTTTGTGATTATCAAGCAATTGAAAGTCTTGTCCCAATAGTTCTTCTCATCAATTATAGTTAATAGCAAAAAAAATAATGGTAATTAATTGAATGTATATCCTAACAAAATAGGAAAAAGAAAACTCTTTTTAGACTATTGAAAATTTGTTAAACAAAATGGAAGGAGGAAGAATAGTGCTAATAACATTATATTTTTATTGGTGCATATTTATATATTGCAAATGACTATGCTAAACATCCTGGTGATCAGGTACTTTTTGTCATCAGCCCTTGCAATCAGATGAACGAGTTGGAATGCTTTGCTCATAGCGGAAGAAATTGTCGGGATCAACCTGCGTCTTCACATCCACCAATCTGTCAAAATTTTCCTTGAAATATTTGCTTCCGTAAACTCTTCCTTCTTCCAATGTACCATTTGAGTTCACACCAATGTCGATATCCCTGTAGTTGAGAAATGATTCCCGTGGATTCTTTGACACGTAGGGAGTCATGGCTTCGTACAGCTTCCTGGTCCAATTCAAGAAGTTGTCAGCGATGTCGTTCCCTGGTTTTTTCCAGTTGGAACCATACTGAATCTTGAATATATTCCCTGCTCTGTGGGGGAAAGGAGTTGCTGTGGGCAAAATCTCACTCATTTTCCCTCCGTAAGGATTCCAATTCATCCCCACATTCTCTGCTTCCATCATTACTTTCCATATGGCTTCCAAGCCAGCCTTGGGGATAGGTTGTTGGACATAATCTGATTTACGTTTCAGAAAGCTTTCACTCTTAGGAATTCTTTGGAGCAACACGTCTGTTGATGATACATTTGGATAATCGATCCAAAAGAGAACTGATTCCACCCACCTCATCTCGATGCAATCTTTTTTCTGCAAACCCAGTTCCGGGAAGCTCTCGTTCATCAATTGAAGAAGCCTTTCTGTTTGCCCCAAAAACATAGCTACAAAAGATGCTTGAATCGTATTCTGGCCTGGAGGGCTTCCAATTTTTTCAGGGCTCAGCATCAATCTTATGAAAAGATCTTCATCCATCCTATCCGCAACCTGTTGCCACTTGACAACGAGGTCAGTGGCTCCTTCCTCCAGGTTCTTGTCTACCCTGAAAACAGTGACAGTTTCAGGAACAGGAACCAACTTGATTTTCCATGAAAGAACAACACAAAAACTAGCAGCACCCCCTCCTCTGATGGCCCAAAAGAGATCTTCTCCCATAGACGCTCTATCGAGAATTCTACCGCTAGCATCAACTACTTTCGCGTCTATGATATTGTCAACAGAAAGCCCATACTTCCTCATCATGTTTCCATAGCCACCACCAGTGAAGTGCCCTCCAACACCAAGAGTCGGACATACCCCGGCAGGGAAGCCATGAACTGGACTTTTCTCCGCAATCCTGTAATAAACTTCCCCAAGGCTGGCCCCCGCCTGCACCCACGCACTTTCATCTCTTACACTGATATCAATGCCTCGAAGATTAAACATATCAAGAATAACAAAAGGAACACTGGATACATAAGATAGACCCTCATAATCGTGGCCACCACTCCGGATTCTGATCTGCAAGCCAACGGATTTTGAACAAACAACAGTTGCTTGGACATGGGATTCGTGCAAGGCGGTCACAATAGCGAGAGGTTTAGGGGTTTCAGGTGTCATGAACCGGAGATTCCTTACATATGACTCTAAAACAGATGAAAATGAAGAGTTGTTAGGGGTATAGATGGCTCCAGAGATTGGACTAGAGGATTGAGATTGCTTGGAAAGGCATTGAACAAACTTGTCCTGAATAGATTGTGAACTTGCCAATGAAAACGAAATGAAAAATATTGAAAAGGCTGAGAGAATCGCAGATGATGAGGATTTCATCTTTGCTGGCCGCTCTTTCATCACAGGGTCATCAACATTCCTCTTATGAGGATTGATTCTACCGTCGAAGCCCAACACCAAAATGGCATTAGATTAATTTCTTGCGTTTATTTTTCCATTGAAAAGGAAAGATATTTGTATGGTGAAACCGTCATAGAAGGAAGATTTAAGAAGGATCTGATCTGCCTTCCAAAATTAAACGAGTCATGCTTGAAATTGAGATACCATCAGCTCGGCCAGGGAGAAAAGCTACACGGCTGATAGCTTTAATGGAAAGGTTTTATAAAATTGTTATACATCCATTAAATTACAATTAAAATTAAAAAATTAATATAATTATAAATAAGGACGTGTTAATTACATTAATTGTTAACGTTTTGATTAAATTTTGTTAATTAATTTATTATATTAGAATTCTCTTATATAATATGTATTTGAAAAAATTAATCAAAACTTCTAAACAAAACTTACATGAAAGCTAATAATAAATATGTAAATCTCTTAAGTCAATAGCAGATTTGTGGAATTTAAGTGTTCTTCGACTGTGGTGTTGTAGCCGCTTTCTCCAATCAGGTAATTTTTGGGTAGATTTCTTTTTGATCTTGCACTTGTAATATCTACATATATTAAAAGTTGTCCTCAGGAGGGGACAATTAAACTCAATTAGAGTGCTACATCAAAAGTTCAATTAATTGACATGTGGTGCTCTAATTGAGTGAGAGCTGTCGTTTTCTTTAGTGGGCATGACATTTTGGTATTTTTCTCTTGTTTAGGTTTTTCCATCGTTTCTACTTTTACTTTATCCATTCTAATTTTTGGTTTCTCCTCTAGGTTTCTATGCCTTCTCTTTTCTTTTACTTTCTCTATTTTTCTCATCTTTTTGTTTAAGTTGTAGAGCTTTTTTCATTTTTTATTTTTTTAGTTGATTGAACGGATTAGATAAAGATAAACTGGATTCTCTCTCATTTTTCTCCTTTCTTCTTTATCTTATTTCCTTGCCCATTGTTTTACTTTTTAATTATTTATTTGATTTATTTAATTTCAACTTATAAATTTATTCAAATTTATGAAATTAATTTAAAAAATGGTAAGAATAAAAATAAAATAATTAATTGAATAATTAATTCCATGATTTTTTGTTTATCTAGCTTCTATTATTTGAATTTTTATAATATTATTGCTTCTATACAGAAATTAAAAACCTTTGGTGTAAGTTTCTAATTTTTCATTTTTTATCTCATTTCATTTGTTTGTTAAAGCTTTTATTATTTGGATTCTTTAGCACTTTTATTTTTATTCAAGCTTTCAATTGAATTGATGAGCTTGATATAGGGAATTCTAGTAATTTCATTTTATGTCTTGCTGTTAATGTAATCAATTGTTGATCAATTCTTTTGATTTCATTCCAAATGCTTAAATTGAATTAAAAGGAATAGTAGTTAAGCACTTGAAGCATAAGAGAATTATGAATGTTAGGTGAAGTAAAATGAAGAATGATTACATTTGTGCTATTTTGTTTTTTGTTAATATTCACAGGTATTTGTTTTACGATTTTGTTATATGATTAAGTTATTTTTGGAATCTCAAGTTTAGAATTTAATCATTTGTGTCTTTTGTTTTAAATTAAGAGACTTTAAAGTAAGTGTGTTTGCCACATAAGATTGATATGGATTAGTATATATTTCTTCATTAATTGTTTATAAAGCTTTTTCAAATATAGTTTTCAGCTCTCATTACATTATCTATTTATGAAATTTTATAAACACCGGTGCTCTTCTAGTATATATTAAAAGAGTGGAATTTGAATTTTTTTAAATTAAAAAATAAAATAATGATGATACTTGGAAAGTGGTCTCTAATCCTTCCACAAGGTTAATGCTTTTCTCAAGTAGTGCATAACTATAGAGGCGCAACAAAGGCAAGAATGTAGTGCATACCCTAATCATTGAGCATTTGTTTTTTCCTTTTGGCAAGCATTGAAAAGGATATAAATGGAGATATTTTTTATTATATATGAAAAAAATTGGAAAGAAAAATTTGTTGGTGTAAATAGGATTTAGATGGAATTCAAGGAATAGATAAAAGTAATTTCAGGGCTAGCCTTTTAATAAGCGCTATTTTTAAGATCTATTTCACCCTCATCACTTTATATGCAAAAAGAGAACTAAGCGAATAGTTTTAGGGATATAATGAAACCAACGTCTAACTTTGTTTTTATACGTTAAGAGAATAGATCGCTAAATACACTCGAGGGTTTGCAAAGTTATTCGACATTAAGGCCTTTTTCTATAAAAAGTAGATTATAAGTTATTTGGATTCTTTTGATACATGATGAGAACTTAAGTGTTTACGTTTATTTTCAGAACATAATACTTTTATTGCTTTTGATATCTTTGCTCTTGTCTGATTTGTTTTGGTGTGTTAAATTGGTTGACAACAAGTCCTTTATATAAGCTTGCACATGTTTCTTCTCAAGGACACAATTTTTTCATCAAGGTATCTTTTGTCTTAAAGATACCTTTACATTTTGCAAGACACAATCCTTAGATAAAGGTATTGCTCTAATATTCACCTTATGAAAGGAAAACAATTCATTCCATAAGGCATAATCTTTTCATATATAAACTTTTGGACTATGGTAATTAAAAAAAAACTTTTGAGCTTTGGTGTTTTTCTTGTTGTCTCATAACTTTTAGTTTTAGAGGTGTTTTTTCAACATGTCATTTTACATAAAGACATAACTATTCATAAAAATACCCACATATAATCCAATAGTCATATTATGTTACACTAGGTGATATAACTTTTAAGTTAACGATAACTTTTCATACAAAAAGACAACCTTTTATTTTGAAAATACAGCAACAACGCCCTACCATTTTCAAGATTTTCAAATACCATCAACTTTCGAAATCTTGTGTATAAATAAAGGTATCTCAAAGATTTAAACCTTGACTTAGTTACTGTGGTTGGTTCTACTCTGAATTGAGTCGTTGACCAAGCATTGATCAATAATTCTTCATTTGACTAGTCGGGCCACTAAACACACACAAGCTTCCTTTTTCAATTTATATATAGTTTTGTCAACTTGTTTTTATGGCCTTGTGTTTTACATCTAGTCATGAGTGCTGCCAAATTCAAGCCTTTAACTCCTAGAAATGGCTACACTTCTACTCATATAGGTAGCCCCTATCAGAAGTACTCTATAATTATAGTACTTCGACATATACATGTTATGGGTCTATTAAGAATTTTTGTTCAACTTTACTTTGGATATTACAGGAACCAAGTACTATATATTTTAGGATGAAAAATATAAATTAGTGCTTGCAATCATCCATATGGTAGAATGGTCAATACCCAAGACTTGCAAGTTAACCACAAGCGTCGATGCGAGTTGTTTATGAGAGTAGACTGTTAAATACACCTAATAGTTTGTGAAGTTGATTAGCCTTAGAACGTACTTTCTCCAGCAAGTAGATTATAAGCAATTTCATTTTCTTTTATACATGATAGGAACTCAAGTGTCTATGTTTATTTTCAAAACATAATACTTCTATTGCTTTCATTTTTCTACTTTTGTCTTATTTATTTGGTGTGTCAAAATAATTAGTAACAAGTCTTTTATATAGGCTTACAAGTATCTCTTCTCAAGGACATAATCCTTTCATCAAGGCATCGCTTTGCCTTAAAAATACCTTTGCATTTTTTCATACACAATCTTTGGATATAGGTATTGTTTTAATAATCATTTTATAAAAAGACAACCATTCATTCCATAAGATATAATATTTGAGCTATAATATGAAAAGATAACTTTTCATATCCAAACTTTTAAGCTGTAGTGTCTTATTTGTTATCTCATAACTTTTGGATTTGAACGTGTTTTTTCAATATTTCACTTTACCAAGAGATATAATGAAAAACCCACCTACAATTCAATAGTTACATAATATCACATTATGTAACATAATCTTTGAATTAAGATAGCTTTTCATATGAAGAGACAACCCTTTATTTTAAAAATACACCAACAATATTTGTGGACTTTTGGCTAGACAATGTGGGTGTCTTATATGGACCCCACATATCAATATGCATCGATTCAAAGGCATTCTCAGAACTTTGAACATGAATTGGAAAAGAAAGTTTTCTTAGTCTTGCTAAAAGGCAAATTCACAAAGTAAATCATTTATGCATTTAGTATCTGGAAATTGTTGATTTATTACATTTATCCTCTTTAAACGAACATGGCCTAACCTAAAGTGCCATTGATCAAAAGACTTGTATCTTGTTTTACAAGCACTAATAGAGAAACCTTGGGGAAACGTCACAAGTTTTTTAAAACAATACTTTGAGAAATCTTGTTCATCTTGATCATCTTGCATCAAATAAAGTCCTGTGAAGGCTCTAACAATCCCAATCATTGTCCATGAAGGAATGTCCTAAACAACAGAATACTTGTCAATGAAAAGAGCACATGTTCTCCTTATACTAGTAATCTGACCTACTGGTATAATATTGAATTTGACACTTGACACACAAGATATTATATAATGTTGGTGATGAACTTAGTTTGACTGTCCCTATATGGGAAACAATGATCTTTCTATTATTTGGTAGCTGAACAAAGCAATTGCTTACAAGTTTAGCATATGTGAAACTACTTAAGGAATAGGATATATGATCATTTGCACCTGAGTTTATTATCTAATGATTTTGTTTAATCATGCTGGTATCCACATTTTTATATTTAAATGGCATATTATTAACAATGTTGAAGCAAGAGTAGAAGTGTCAATATGGGCTAGCCTGACCCAAAAAATTATGGGTCATGAAAATATGAGTTGGGTCGGGTCAACCTATTTTTTACATGAGCTATTAAAACCCCATCTTTTATTATAAAAGTTAGAGCTACAAGAGTAAAGGAAAAAAAAAGGAGATTATATATTTTTTTAGTAGCTTCTTAAGTTGCTTGTAAACTAATACTTTATGTTATATTTATTATCTTAAATTATATT